AAAGTTTAAAATCCAGAAATATAAGACCGTAAATTTGTAAACCATTTGTGAAAATAAGTTTCCAAAATAGCTTATCCATTATCTCTATTTGTTAAAGTAACGCTTTCAAAGCGAAGAAGTATTTGACCTTCCAGTTAGGTTAATATATATTACAAACGAATTAAATAAATTTTCTTTTTCTTTTTCTTTTGGCTAAATATATAAGTTCATGATTCAAGTCGGTGTAATTTTCAATTATTTTCTATTTAATCTTCTAAAAGTTTTGATTTCATAGTTAATTTTTTCTTCAATTAAATCTTTATTTTTGCATGATGTTAAAATTTATTAACAAAATAATAATGTAACCTTAAAATACATTTTGTTAATTGCATTAAAAGCATTACAATATTTTAATTTAATGTGTTTATGCAGGAATTTGCACAACGGTTCTTCATGAATTAAGTTCGAACCCGGTCTCCGGTTCCGACCTGAACACTAGAGTGGACCTGCACAAGAGGGTAAGCACTCCGACGCTCAAGTCAGTATAGATCGAACTCCTTATTTAGTTCGAGATGAGATTCGATACCTGAGCGTGAAATGAAGTCCTCTATTTATAAGTGATGGATCCGACAGTATACACGACCGGCGGTTATGTGTCTTTTCTCATATCGGGCCTATCGGGTTCTGAGCAGGTCGGACCCCAGTCAGGTCGAACCTTGGTGCCCATACTTAGTCTTTTATAACGGGCGAAACCGGTCACCTCGGCGGGGCCGAGGTGGACCTAAGCGATCCTTTTTATTTGGTTTCTTCAAACACCAACAAGGGTCCTCCACGTGTCTTGGGTATGTTTACCCCCAAACATTGGCCCCCCTCTGTCAGGTTCGATCTCGACCTGACAGAGAAGTTCATTCGAATCTATTTTGGACACGTGGCGACTTTTCATTTGTGGAGGGAATATGACCGTTGCGGAAGACGTTTCGACCTGCAGGTTGTTGGAGCACTCAAGTGTTTCGCCGTTGCGTATCTCGAGAAGATCCTAGCCACTCGTTTATTACACGTGTACGGTGCAGAGGTTCTTCCGATCAGCTATAAATAGTCCCGAAACTTCAGGTCAAACCCTACGTTTCCTGAATTTCTGGAGTTCGACATGAAACCAGCTCGAACCTTCTGTAGGTCAGTCTTTTCACTTTTACTTTCTTTCCGAATATGGTGGTGTTCCTGTCTTCCCCCTCCAGTAGCGATACCCTGGGTAGCGTAGGTCGAACCATAAGTAGCTCGCCCCCCAAACCAAGTGATTCTGGGGAGGTCATAGCTCGTAGGTTAGAGTCCGAGCTGGAAGAAATAGAGAACTTTAGGTTCTCAGATGACAGAGAGGATAGTGATACCTCCACCTCGGGCCAGGGTCTGGAGTACCCTTCTAGGATGCCCGAGCACTATCTCGGACCCCTTCGTAGGGGGTTTAAAATTCCAAACAACATCCTCCTTAGGATCCCGGAGGAAGGGGAAAGAGCTGACAATCCTCCAGAGGGATGGGTCACTCTTTACTTGAAGATGTTTGAGTACGGCCTCAGACTTCCCCTTCATCCCTTTGCTCAGGAGTTCTTGAACCGAACTGGACTGACTCCTACTCAAGTGGCCCCCAATGGGTGGGGTGTCATTTTGTCTTTAGCCATTCTTTTTTGGTTGCAAGCTCGGGACGAGGATGAGGCCGAGCTTCTAAGCGTTGACCAACTTCTTGGGTGTTTTGAGGCCAAGAGGATAGCCAAAAAACCAGGTCGATACTATATGTGTGCGAGGAAGGGCGCGGGTGGTATAGTTAAGGGGTCGACCTCCATCAAAGGATGGGTAGGTTAGTGGTTCTTTGCCTCAGGTGAATGGCTGGCAAAGGACGAGTCAGGTCGTCCCTTCTTTGACGTGCCTGCGAGGTTTGGGAACCTAGGTATGGAGTCTTTCTTACTTTCTTTTTCTTTTAATTTCTTGATATTCATATCTAACTCGAACTTTTGTTTACTTTGTGCAGTATCAATCAAGCCAATTCCCGAGCTCGCTCAAGCCACCTTCGACACCCTCAAATTCTACAAGGACAACTTCCCAAGGGGCCGGAAGATCGCGACCTTGGTCACCGACAAGCTGCTGCTAGAATCAGGGCTATTGGACTATAATCCTTTAGTTCGTCCGATTGAAGCTTCGAGGCCAAACTCCGAGCTTGGTAAGCCGTGTTCGATCTCAACCTCAATTTTAGCTTCAAGTTTTTACTTCTAACATTTCATCTTATTCGTATTGTACCCATGGTGTGTGGATTCACGAGCAGCGTGAAACGTAAGTCTAAGGGCCGTGCTCACGCCCTTAAGATAGTTTAGAGCTCTGATCCATCTACCCCTGCTGTGGATCAGAATGCAGCTCAGGACCAGGCGGGTCCATCTTCGGAAGTTCCGACTCCAGTGATCGAGCTGGATTCGACTGGGGAGCGCTCCAAGGAGAAGCGCTCGAGGAGCGAATCCGAAGCACTGGA